CGTCCCTCGGCAGGCAATGGCAAACCTCCGAGTGTATTTCTGCCATGAAAAACAGCTTCTCATAAAAATACAATCGCCGTTCGGAGTCGGCGTAAAACTGTAGGTCCCTCCGCTTTGTGTGACAACATCAAGGCGCACACCACAAGTCGGAGGAGAATCTCGGCCAAACACTAACATATGTGTAAGTGCTAATCTATTATTATATTATTATTATTATTACTTAACTGAGAATCGGCAGGTCAGCGTGTTTTTTCCCCGGCATTTGCAATGAAAACTACAAAATAGGACAGAATTGTTTTTACAGCCAATCAAGTACAAATAAATGATGGTAAAATGTACCTAAATTCAATTTAACCGACTCTTTTGTTAACTTAAAGACGGCTAGAGAATGGTAATCAATTTTACACATCCAATTTTATGCATATCTCTTCAGTTAGAACAGAGGTCATGTATGATATAAATATGTTTCTGTGCTAAAAATTATGTATGAAATCTATTGAATTACAAATTTTTAACCACATGCCTTATCGCAATCAAACTTTAAATTAATATAAATCAAAAGATAATTTTTTATTAGCGAGGTAGTCACTTTGTTTCTCTCATGTCGCCATTTTACAATCACGCCACGTATAACTTGTTTTTGACCGATATAACATTTCCCGTTGGTTTCATCCCATCCCGATTTTGACTGTCACATAGTGATATTTATAGCTTTTTGCACACTATATTTTATCCAACATTACATATATACATGGGCGTAGCCAGGTAGGGGCAGGGGGGGGCTCGCCCCCCCCCCCCCCCCCCCCCCCTAACTTTAAAATTTTCCTTATATATATATAAAATAGTACCCCTAAATACCAGCTTAACAGGGTCGAGCATAAAATTTCAATCTGGCTACGCCGATGCATATATAAGTAGTACGCAGACTGAAAAAATAGTAATATACTATATTTTATAGTATAGTTTGGCAATCCTAGTCATAGGTCACATGCAATTTTTTATTTTTATTTTTGTTTTTGATTTTAATTAATTACTAAAAAGCATCTTTACAGAAAGAAGAAAAAAATCAGACGAAAAAGAAAATTTGTTAAATTTTTAACCGACTTCACAAAAAGGGGAAGGTTATAAAATCGTCGGAATTATTATATTATTTTATTTTATTTTTTTTATGTATGTTACCGCATAACTTTGGACCTCGTTAATCGATTTTTATAATTCTTTTTTTAAAGGAAAGGCGTTACGTCACATTTGGTTTAAATCCAATTATCGGATCATAAAGAAATTAACGATAAACTTAAATTTTTATATGAGAATTGAATTTGGTTTTTTTTGCTTAAAAATGACTTGTTTTTTAATATTGTTTGTTAGGAAAAATGGAAAAATCAACAAAGTCTAAGCGGTAGAAGATATATTTGCTATTTCTGAGATCCCCACAGCTCTTCATCAGACTTCTTTTTCAAGGATCTAACCCGCATCATCGATGTGCAAACTTAGAATCGTTAACCACTGAGCACACCCCCGTAAGCTCTTGTTGCTAATTCATTTCCTTATTGAACCTACTACTATCAAGTGCAACTGATTTGCCCCTATTTAAACTTGACAGCGTGGTTGTTATTGTTAATTCTTTGAAATCCGTTTAAGTACTCCCCCCGCTTAAGTACCTAACCCGCTTAAGTAACCAACATTTTTGGGCAATGTGAATTTTTGAATCTACCATTTACCTATACCATTTTACCTATAATTTTCCCCTTTTAAGTGCTCTACCCGCATCGAGGTACTTAAGCGGGTTCTTTTAAGTACTCAACTCGCCTAAGTACCTCAAAAAGCTGACATTTTTTGTGAGGCACTTAAGCGGGTTTTACTGTATACTAAATTGAAAACAGTAAATAAAGATTGTCTCTTTCATTATTTGTAATTAAACTTATTGTAAATCACTTTTTATACATATATGTAATACTCCTATATTGGCTATATTGGCAGTAAGAGCGAAAACACTACAGTACAGATATATCAACAAACACGTACGAAAGAAAAGGAACACACACGTTTATAAATAAACATGTACACAACACATATACAACAAGTAATTTTTAGCAAAAAAAAATCGACTTCAACTCTCATATAAAAAAAATATATATATATATATATCTCATGATCCGCTGATCGGATCTTAAGCAGATTNAAAAAAAAAAAAAAAAAAAAAAAATATTCCGACGAACTGATAACCTCCTCCTTTTTTGGAAGTCGGTTAAAAACGGCACTCAAGTACACAATCCATTGACAAAAACGGTACTAGACTGTCTCGCTTTGATTTCGGAATGCTTGCACATTGAGAAGTTAGCTTACTGCCAATATAGAAGTATTACATATATGTTTTTATACATACATGTGGTATGTATTTAGATCTTACTTAAAAATTGGTAAACTTAAAATTGTACATCCTCACATATCGTCGATGATTTTACGAAACCGCCCATCGCCCAATTTTGTACTGCCTTAAGGAAATTTTACACAAGAAAATTTCTTAGCCATTTCTTGTGCGTCATTTTATATGGAGATTTTGCTTTTATTGAGAGATTGTTACTAAGCTTAAAGGTATAACCGCACTAGGCGACGCGACACGACACTACACAGCACGACAAAATATTATTTGCATGGATTCTTACGGAGCATACGCACTACACTACAGCGTATAGTTGACCAACTAGGCAACAAAGTCTCGTCGCCAAGAATGATAGAATACAAGATTGCGCCGATCAGAGAGGATTTTTGAGAATAACTTTTGTGTGCCGTCACACTGGTGAAATTGTGAGAGAGAAATGCCAAAACGTGAGCATGAATGGAAGAAGAAGAAAAAATGTTGCAAGAAAAATGTAAACAAGTCGCACCAGTGTGACGTCATGAAAACAACGATTCTGTCAAATTCGTTAAGAGAGGAATAGCGGTCTGAGATCGGCGCAACCTTTGTATTATCTCAATCGTGTCTCGTCGCGTGGTGTCACGCAGTTCCGGTGCCGCATAGTGCGGTATATCCAGCGGGACGACTTAATATTTTATACTATATTTTTAACTTGAAGAAATTGGATTTCGAATTGTAAGTGAATATGCAGATACATTTTATTCGAGAAGTAAATTTTATGTAAAGAAACATACAATTTTAGAAGAATTTGCCAGGCAAAATAAGAAAAAAAGGCATTAACATTACATCGGCGACACGGCATCCATCTTGTTTTAACGCGAATCTGCCCAGTGTAACAATATCGAGCCCTAACCGCAAAAAACGTAACCGCCAAAAAGCAAATTTTACAGGAGAGACTTTTTTTGTTTTTTTCTTAATCCGTTTGTAAAATATCTTTGAAATTCTAAATGTAGTCTAAGCCCGGTTCAATACAAGTCATAGACTAATTTGTATCTTCATTCAACTTAATTTGTAGTCGAAATTTGTGAATTTGGCGCTTACGTTAATTTCGCTGTCACCGAGGCAGGCTACTAGGCAAAAATTTGGCGGTTACGTTAATTGAATTTCCCCAAAA